ATTATAAATATTAGGAGGAAAGCATAATTGGTTAACATTTAAAAACATTTCTCTTTCATCAGCTAATTTGGACGCATACCATGCATATTGAAGCATATTGTTGTGCCCACGCCTTTGGGGAACGTGTTGTTCCCACGCTCTTGGGAGAAGACTGTGAAGAAGGCATATAGAGAGTGTTTGACAGCTGTTATCGTTGTCAAGGAGTTTGTTTACTAACAACTAGAAGAGAGTCGCTCTAGTCCTGTCACAGCGTACGGACATAAAGCGAATTCGTGCGATTATTTTGAGATTGATTAAGATCCGTTTTTCTTGGCTGTAAATAAAGCTTTTCTCGTTTAGTTTATCCCGAGTTATTTCTTTCACGCGCGGGCATAACAATATATTTAAATCTTGGATTTAAATGTATTCTTCAATATGTATGGCATGCGTTCAAATTAGCTGACGAAAGAGAAATGTTTTTAAATGTTAACCAACTATGCTTTCCTCCTAATATTTATAATAAAAGAAGCGTATGTGAACAACATAATTCATTTATAAAATGTTCGCGACAAAGTTTTATATTTCCAATGTTTTTACATGAATTTTCATCTACAACACTGCGAAGCGATGAAAACATTTTATAATATGTAGACATTTATAAAGTTTGTATTTGATTTTGACATGTATAAAATGTATACGTTGCTTGAAAAATATATAATCAGTTCATACGATTTATATATTTTTTATTTCATATTCGTTCAAATATCCCGAAATGTCCTTATTTTTTATATAAAAACGAAATAAATTAAAAAAAAAAAATAATTATTAATAACGTATTACTATATGTCGAAAATTAAAGAAAAAAAGAAAAAAAACCATGAAGTGAAGCAGTCGTCGATGGAATCCGAACGCTCGCCGCTGGTGCAAAAATCTATGTGTGGGAGCCTTAGTTTCCTCAGCTATGCCGTTTACTCGAAAGAGGTCGTAAAGTTAGTGCTTATGTGCGATGTAGTTACGTGACCCTAACTTTGTCTCTTAAATTCTCTTAAACAAAGGCGCATTGGCACGAACGGCTCTAGGGTTTTCATTACCTACATACAAGCTATCGAACGCACTATGACTCGTTCGAGAAACGATTTTCTAATTGGCGTCATCTCCTTGTGAGAGATAGATGGAAAATCGAAGAGCCACTCCCGAAATTTTGCTTTTGCGGCATGAAAGAAAGAGTTTCCTGCATCGAATTGTTACTGGCGATAAGAAGTGGATATATTTCGAGAATCTCAAACGCAAAAAAATCGTGGCTTTCACCTGGTGATGCATCAACATCGACGGCACGGCCAAATCGCTTCGGAAAGAAGACAATGCTCTGCGTTTGGTGGGACCAGAAAGGAATCGTGTACTATGAGCTGCTGAAATCAGGTGAAACTGTCAATGAGCATCGCTAACGACAACAAGTCGTCCAGGACACCATCAAAACGCTGAAATGGGATCTGCTACCGCACCCGTCATATTCGCCAGACCTGGCCCCTTCCAATTATCACTTGTTCTGGTCGATGGCGCATGGCTTGACTAGGCAACACTTGGCCAATTTCGAAGAAGTGCAAAATTGGTTGGATGAATAGTTTCGGTCCAAAGACGCGTCGTTTTATCGTCGCGGTATGTATTGCCAGAGAGATGGCAAAAATGTGTAGCTAGCGGGGGACGATACTTTGAATAAACCATTTTTTTATTTCTCTTGAAATATTCCATTTTTCATTGATAAAAAAGACCCGAAAACTTAGTTGTGCACCTAGTAAAAGAGCTATGCCGAGCGTATTTTCCGGTTCGGCCATGAAGACGCCAAGACATGGCGGCGGTGTATGTTTGTATTATGTACGTGAGTACCCGATGTATATGTAGTAGTACGTATGTGATAATTGGTGTGTTCGTATATACCGCTATTAATATTATTAAAACTGCAAATCTACAAACGAGATAATGCCAAGTACATGTTGCATTGTCAATTGCAATAATACAAATAAAAAAGGATATCACTTATTTAAGTCATAAGATCACTTATCACTTATTTACCTAACCAAATGTGTTGCAATTCAAAGCTGATATGAAAAGTTTACTGGTAAAAAATTCGATTTCAGCATCAGATACAGTTAATTATGTCAGTTTTGATACAGAAAACAATGCACAATTCAAATTAAAATGGGCGAAGAAAAAGTATGTTCAAAATTGGCACGATAACATTGATAGATTGACAGATTATGAAATATATGATGATTTATATGATGAAAATGAAGATATAGACCTAGATCATAATGGCACTGTGAGTGAAAGTAGTTCCCTTAAAGACAACATTTTATATTATATGACGGGTTTCACAATCAAAGTAATTATTCGTACATTAATGTGTAAAGACTACATTACCAACACCATCAGTGAAGTCAGCGATAAGTAACATAACATTTCGTCATATACTATGTTAATAGATATAAAAGATAAAGGAGGTTTAGTATACGCATCAAATGATGTATACAAAATTATTCGTGCAACTGAAACACTTTGACTTTGAGAGACTGTCAGCTTGTACCACCAGGTACAAGTAACAATGCCTCTCTCTGTAGTCGCCGTGCGCTCGGGATAGCACTAGAGATGTCGCTTCCGAACGACATCTCTCAACGTTATCTGGGGAGGGGAGAGTGTCGTGAGCGTGGAGCGTCAGATAGCTCAGTGGTCTAGAGCAGTCGCCCGGCAAGCGAAAGACCCGGGTTCGATTCCCGGTCTAGCGACTACCGCGCTCTCGATATTTTTCTCTCCTCGGAACGAAAAATGAGATGCAGATCCCGAACGCACGGCGTCCTGTCGCCACCTAGTACGCCCTCCTTCTTTCATGGTCGTATAATATATATATAAATATATTTATATATTTTATATATAAATATATTTGGTATATTCCTTTAGAACGAAAAATGTACGTCAATCAAATGCAAGAACTCACTTAGCGTTCAGTAAGCGCTTGTAGTACTAAATGCACCCATTGGTCGTGCTGGCTTCGCGTTCCGTTCTCTATGGGACGTCGACTTTAAGCACTCGATGTGGAAAAGTGCAAATGGCGATCAGTGAAATATCTCTCTCGTTCGCTCATTCACAAATTAGTTACTGTGTTAGTGCATATGTACATGTAGCTTGTGCTTATACAGCTCAATACGGTTAAAGGCTGAGTACTGAATATAAGTACTTATTAAATGTGTATTTTATCATTAACCTTGAAAATCACGTCATGGACAGTGATGGGAATCATAGCCTTTTGACATCTATGCACAGATACTTTTCAATATGTGGGGAGGGAGAAGCTCGATTACATTCAGTTTATCGTAAAAATATTGCTATTTATATCGCACGATAAACTGATTGTAGACTGAGCACACAGATAGAAAAGTCTCTGTGGCGTAGGTATGCCAAAAGACCAAGCCCCACAAAAACATACGTGGATTCCATGTGGAATGCACGTATTCACGTGAAATCCACAAAATCACATGGATTTCACGTATACACAACGTTCTTGTTTTCGTGGGGGAGATTTCCATCACTGGTCATACCCAATGAAAAGGGGACGTGAAATCTAGGTATTTTAAGTTAATAGTTTACTTAGGTTAAATAGTTTACTTAGGTTAAATACGTTCAATGCAAGTTAAAATAAAATTAATCTGAAGTAACTTATTTGCAACTTTGTTAATATTGTTTCATAATGTCTTGTGGGTATTCAATTTGTCAGCAATACTTATGAAGAAGGTACAATTGCATTGATTCATCGATCATGGTTTACGCCTCTGAAAAGTCAAGTCTGGTGGCCTCCATACAAGACAAGTGTTCAATTTAAAAAAGCACTGTTTACTGAAGAACAAGTAAACAAAAATACATGGGCATTGTATGAGGTGAAACGTATATTTTTTACTTGTGGTATGTATTTTATGTATAACATTATACTCGTTTGTTATTTGTACAGTAATATAAATATATTTCAAAGTATTGTTATTTATATACAGATGAATTTGATAAGGCCTTTAAAAAACTAAAAGAATGTGAAGAAGTGTCTGATTTACAATCTACTGAAGTAGAAGATGACGTACAAAGTAAGAAAAGAAAACGCAAACCAAATTTAAAATATGTCATAAGTAGTGAAGACGAATACGATGAAAACTGTGATTCTCTACAGTCATCAGCAAAACTTGATAAATCAGGTGAGACAAACATAATTTACATTTATAAGGATAAGAATATTATCATTGTTTTTCCCTTCATTTATTCTTATACTATGTTATAATATGATAAAATATTATGCGCGTTTCATATTATATATGTTTATAAAAACATATCCTTTTTTAAGTACAATTGAAAAATGGACTTTGGAAAACACAACGCAGGTACGTTGCAGATAAAAATTATGAAAATAGGAAATAAATGTATTGTTATCAATTACGTATTTATTTTGAGAATCTCTTGATTCTGATTTTTTGTGAAATTTTTGTTTATGTTTACAGAGATTATGTATTACAAGAAATACCTACTAATTCTTCTGCAAGTTACACAAATAACGATACATCTATCATTGCTCCAACTATTAACACTAGAACAAAAGTTACTAATTCTACGCTTATAAATAAAAATGAAAATTATACGAAGCAGGTTGCAGAAAAAAGTATAGAAGCGTCATTGCTTAATATATATATTGTTCGCACTTTGAGTGAATTAAAAACATGGCCTGTTAATCTCATTGACAGTAAATGTATTCTATTGCCTTATACTAACGGTAACAATTGTTACGTATGCTTACCAATCATACATAGTTTGGACTAATGTATTAGTTCAAATATCCTCTAATATGAGTTTTTTTCTTGTTATATTCCATTTAATTTACGAAAGTGTGATAATTGAAGAAATGATTTTAGTTATGCTGTCAAAAATTACATATATTCTATTTCTATTTGATTCTATAATAATATATTATATATTATGTAAATAAGAGCTTTTATGTTTCAATAAAAAAATTAATGATCTGATGTATATGTCTATGTTTGTACTATATTTGCGTCTTCATTATGTCCTAAATATATCACCTTGCTACCTGTTTGCTGATAAATATTGCTGATAAATACGTCCAAATAAGATCCATTTATGACGTCAAAATACGGTTCTTCTATGACGTCAAAAAACGGCCCTTGCATGACGTCAATATTTTGGGACATTCGATCGTCTTTTGGACGTCATAACGACGTCAATCCCTGACGTCAAGTTTAGTCAGCAAATAACTAATTTTCGACGTCATAATGACGTCTGTTTGCTACCTGGGTAGTATCAAGTAATTACAAGTACAATACAAGAATATAATAACTGGTATAAATATTTTCATATCATATCTGAAGAACAGTCGGATACAATAGAAATAGAAGAATACAGTATGGAATGGAATTATGCTGCAAAGGATAAACCGAATTCGTTGAAAAGGTGTGAAAGTACATGTTTGGCTAATATATTGTTGTATCTATAACATCCATTAACTATTAATGTATTCCTTTCTTAGGAAATCAATGGGGCATGAAGAAGTGGATGTTCCTTTGCATCACATCAAAAGACTGAAGGACATCAACGTGAACAAAGTGTCCAAACATGCGGAAGAAGCAAAATTTGTAATAGAAGTTGCAATGGAAACAATAGAAGATAAGCAAAACGAAATAAGAAAGTTGAAATCGTACGTAAATACCCAAAGACGACGATTGCAGAGTTTGATTGAATTAAATAAACATTTGCATGATAATAATTTAATTTCCGATACAGTTCAGAAAAATCTTGACGTAAGTATTTGATACTTTAAACTTACTTTTAACTTGTAATTCGGGGAACGAATTCGGCCGCTTACGCAAGCACGCACGAAGGCTTCTTTGTAACCCGTTCTTATATTTCACATGGTCTTAAATACATGTTTAAGAACATTGTAGCCAATAAAACGATCCGTACAGATGCTGTATAAATCATTATATTGGCTACGAAGTATTTCAAGGGGTATTTAAAACGATATTGAAATATAAGAATTGACTTGGAACAAACTTTAGTGCGCACTCGATGTGCATTAGTGCAAGCGATCGAATTCGCTATTAGAAATGCTACAATTTCGTTTATATTACAGTAATGTGCAACGTATCGTTTTACACAAGTAATTATCATTAATTACATTCTACAATCGTGCTAAATGAACAATTCACTACAGTATGTTGATTGTGAAGATGGAAAACTGATGATATGTCTATGATAAATGCACAAATCGAGTTGTATCTATACAACAACATCATGATTGAAATTGAAACAACTGTGTTTATGCAGCTGTAAAAACACTGCAAAACACATATGTTACAATATAAAGATTTATATAAACGTTACCAATTTACAGTAACGTTGACGCAATAGAATGAGGGTGCGTTTGGGGGGACGCTATTAGCATCATTATATTTTTATCGCTCATTAGATGTACAAGGATAGAATACGCTAATAGTACTGATAGTGAGCTCCCCGAACGTACCCTGAAAGACTAATAATTGTCAAGGATTAATCTATTTCTGTATTGCTTTTATAATGTAATTATTTCATTACGAATAGCAATGCAATATTAACTCGCGATTGCAAAGAAATTAATATAATAAAAAATTGACTAATGAGGCACATTAAACATTTTGCAGTCGGCTACCCTAGTTGTTAAATCTATGGTACAAAAAATGCTATTCCAACATCACACGTTTGACGAAATTCCCTCCGGAGTTACAAAATTTTGCAGCGTCCTTACATTTCTACTTCCCGAAAGCATACGAATATTTAAGAGAAACCTTTATGAAGATGTTACCGCATCAAAGTACGATTTCGTTCTTGGTATACTAATGTTGACGGTTATCCTGGGATATGTAAACCTGCATTACAATTTTTGCAAGAAAAGGCTAAAATTACGTGCGAAAAAAACCAAATTATTCTATGTTCCTTAGTTATGGACGACGTAGCGATTCGGAAAAAAGTTGAATGGCATAAGAACGAATACGTAGAATTTATTAATTTCGGTAAAAAAATGAATGACGTTGACTTGCCCGAGGCTTCCGGTGCTGTTGTATTAATGGTTGTAGGAGTCAATGGTCATTGGAAAATTTCTATCGCGTATTATTTCATACACTCATTGAATAGCACGGAACGAGCGAATATAATGAATGACACATTAACACAATTACATGAAACAGGAGTTTTAGTTACTTCCATCACCTTCGATGGCAATATAACTTTTTATTGGCCACAAAATTAGGTGCGAAATTAGACATTAAGAACAATTCGCAAGTTTACTTTTTGCATCCGGTTTCGAACGCAAAAATATTTGTAGTACTCGATCCATGCCATATGTTGAAATTGATTCGAAACTTGTTTGGAAAAATGCAAGTCATCGTCGACGGAGATGATAATATAATAAAGTGGTCTTTCCTGGAGAAATTGGTACAATTTCAAGAACAACACAGTTTGCACGCTGCGACTAAACTGCGCAAGCGACATATGAATTGGCAAAATGAGAAAATGAAAGTGTTTCTGGCAGCTCAAACGCTCAGCAATAGTGTTGCAAAAGCATTGGCATATTTACGCGATGACTTGCAGTTACCACATTTTCAAAATAGTAAAGCTACGGAAACGTTTTGTTCCATTATGAACGAAGCATTCGATATTTTGAATTCGCGCAATAAATTTAACACCGATCCCCAGAAAATGCCTATATCACAATCGAATATTCATGACATTCGATGCAAAATTGCGAATATTGAAAGGTATATAAGATCCTTGACTGTTAATGGTTAATTAATTGTTCACAGTAGTCATAAGACAGGATTTATCGGAATAATCATTTCTTTACATAGTGCAGTAGACGTCTTCGATACTTGGGTCGCACTAAATCCTTCTGTTCATTATTTGTTGACTTACAAACTATCGCAGGATCACCTTGAATTATTTTTTTCGGCAGTGAGAAGTCGCTGTGGAAATAACAATAATCCTACATGCTTGCAATTCATTGCGGCATTTAAGAAATTGTTAGTACATGCACAAATTGGTGGTTCCAAGTATGCGAGTTATCTAGCACAAGATAACACACCATTTTTGCACATATTTCCGGCAGAAGCGACACACGGCATAGATAAAATAACCACTCAGAATTATAGTATGGACTCGTGTACAGAAACTTCGAGTGTAGACCACGATCACGACTATTATTTACACAGCGCTTTTGATAATTTGAACAAAAGTTATATAGACGATGTTGTAGCTTATATCACTGGATTTCTTGTTTTCAAAATAGTAGATAATATATCTTGTGACATTTGTAAACAACAATTGTACAGCAATGTGTGCCATTCCAAGTTACAAGTCGTGAAAAATCGTGGAAGATTGACTAATGCATCAGCTGATGTTGCGACTTTATGTAGAATAGCCGAATTAACATTCAGAGAGAATATATCGATTCTTAAGGAAAAGAATATCCTATGCACGTTATTACTATCAGGTATGTCGGTAATTACTTTCCGGTTTTTGTAACAGATGTCACTAGCCATAAGTATGCAATAGTATGATTTGATACATATGTCATTTTATTCTACTGACATTAACCTCAAAACTACACAAGTTACGTTCCGCCAAAATAACAGCGTTATAGATTAATAATTTTTTGAAAATGTCGAGTTTTGTGCCTGAAAACGTGCATTTGCGGCACGCATTACTTTTCTTGTTTAATCAAAAGAAAAAAGCCGCTGAAAGTCATCGTTTGCTGGTAGAGACTTACGGTGAGCATGCTCCAACCATAAGAACATGTGAAACGTGGTTTCGACAATTCAAACGTGGTGATTTCAACGTTCAAGACAAAAACGTCCTGGTAGGCCGAAAACGTTTGAAGATGCGGAATTGCAGGAGTTATTGGATGAAGACCCAACACAAACTCAAAAACAATTGGCAGAAATTTGAATGTGAGCCGAGTAGCAATTTGTGAACGATTACAAGCTATGGGAAAGATCCAAAAGATGGGAAGATGGGTGCCACATGAATTGAATGACAGGCAATTGGAAAATCGAAAAATCGTCAGTGAAATGCTGCTTCAAAGGTATGAAAGGAAGTCATTTCTGCATCGAAAAATGGATTTATTTCGAAAATCCCAAGGGAAAAAAATCATGGTTATCACCTGGCGAAGGCGGCCCATCGACTGCAAGGCCAAATCGTTTTGATCGCAAGACCATGCTCTGTGTCTGGTGGGACCAGGTTGGTGTCGTATATTATGAACTGTTGAAACCTGGAGAAACAGTTAATACTGATCGCTACCAACAACAAATGATCAATTTGAACTGTGCATTGATCGAAAAACGTCCACAATACGCTCAAAGACATGATAAGGTGATTTTGCAGCATGACAACGCGCCGTCTCATACAGCAAAACCAGTCAAAGAAGTGTTGAAATCACTTGGATGGGAAGTTTTATCGCACCCGCCGTACTCTCCAGACCTGGCTCCATCCGACTACCACCTTTTCGCATCGATGGGGCACGCGCTTGCAGAGCAGTACTTCGCCGATTTCGAAGAAGTTAAAAAATGGCTCGATGAATAGTTTAGCTCAAAGGAGAAACAGTTCTTTTGGAATGGCATCCATAAATTGCCTGAGAGATGGGCAAAATGTATAAAATCAAATGGCCAATACTTTGAATAAATATATTTTAACTATCCATTGTAAATAACGTGTTTCCTTTAGCGAAAAAACCGGAAAGGAATTACCGACACACCTGGTAAACACTTTGTGAAAAGTACCAAGTAACATATTTAATCATACAACACATTTATTCGATCAAAATCCTCTCAATGACCAATGTTTCCAATTGATTAAACTTGTACTCAATAAATACTTTAAAGCAAGATGTACACACTATGGTAATTCTAACAGTGTAAATGTTGAAAGAGTTAGAAGTAAATTAACGAAATTAATACTTTTCAAAAGTCAATGAAGGCATGAAAACTGTTTTTCTGTTATTTTCTTATATGTATTCGTCCACACTGTTTCTAAATATGTACTTCTTATATGCATAAATTATATTTATATATAATATGTACTTATATAATATATATTTATTGTATTATTCATACATATGTTGCAAGCTTTATTACGTGTCGTTTAACAAATAAACAACAATACTGCATATATGACATCGACTTTTATTTTATTTTTCTATCTATTTACATATGTATTTATATTTCTTTCCAATATCAATAAAACACATTCTGAACATATTTCATCATTAGGACTGGGGCTCTGTTGTAATGTACTACGCTTCTGCGTAGGAAAGGGACGACAGGACACCTCATATTGTCTGCCTCTCATTCTACTCGAGAAATTACTTCCTCCACTGCCATCAGCAGTCCATTCTATATGTCGATGTCACGTACACACTATAAACACACACCGCCGCCATGTCTAGGCGGTCTTCATGGCCGAACCGGAAAATACGCTCAGCACAGCCTTCGTATAGGCCAAAATTCGAAGTTAGGTATCTAGTATAGTATAGACATCTATGGTTACAGCCCAAATTCTCTGGTAACGAGATGCTCTACGCTGAGTTGTATCACACCCTTTTCTCGAGAACGGGCATTCACTTTTTGAACGAAACTAATTCTATATCCAAAGAAGATTATCCTGCTGGTTATACTCTTTTCGCTTTTGATTTCACTCCTGATCTGTCAACTAATTGCACGGATCAATGGAACCTTGTGAAACACGGTAGTTTGCAAATGGAAGTATGATTCGAAAAAGTCCTCACAACAACGACCAATTGCTTAGTTTACGCTGAATTTGAAAGTGTGCTGGAAACAGATTTTTCTCGTCAAATCATTGTAGATTATAGCGGTTAAAGAAACGCATCTCTCACTTTTCTTTTCGACGTCATTCCCCTTCCAGTGTAAAGATTTTCAACATCATTTCCTTCCAGAGTAAACATTTTGAAAAAAGAGCTCAGTTGACTTCGAGGCGTGAAGAATATAATTTCGGCGAAGCAGAATTGCGAATACAGAAGGAACATGGATATGATCATCGAAGTATAGTGTTTCCACGATAGCAACGATGCCTATGTGTTTAAAGAAGTGGCTATTGTCGGTATTAATGTGGCATTCGTCAAAGATTGGATCTTAGCTCCAGAGTATTCATTTGCGGAATTGAACAAAAAATCAAGACGGATAAATAACTGACTTTCGCTGGATTATCATGGAATCGAGTGATACGACGGGCAGACCAAACCGAAATATTTTTATCCGCGCTTGTGTGAAATCACGAGTTCACATATTCAT